GGGAGGCAGGCGCGCGGCCGCGACGAATCCCGACTCGGGCGCGCCCCCTCGCGCGCGTCCTCAGCCACTAGCCGCGGCAGGGGTGGGAAACATGATAATGACAGCCCGGCTCTCAGCGCGCCAGGCTCCTTCTCTCGCAGGCTCACGGATATTTTGGGAGCCCCATCCGTGCCAGGCGCAGCCGGCAGCGCTGTGCCCGAGCCTGTGCGCACCGAGCGTTTTCGTGGCCATTTATCCTCCCCGCAGGCCCATGGGGGCCGGGGGCAGGTCCCACGGCAATCCCGCTTAAGACGGGGATATTGAGGGAGGTTGCAGGGGCTTGCCCAAGGCCACAGAACTAGAAAGTGATAAATCCAGGCGGTCTGCACTTGACCGGCACAGGCCCTGGGGCAGATAGAGCCAGGGTTATAATGGCAAATTTGTTGGGCGCTTCTCTTGCATTCCTTATCTCATTCAAACCTCACAGCAGCCCCAGGAAGGTAGACACTGTTAGCCACAGGCGAGGAAACAGACTGAGAAAGAGGAGGTTGGCCAAGATCTCAGAAATAGAAATGGGGCAGAGTCTACCCTCCCAGCCTCTCCCCTTCCCCTCACGGATGAAATTACAGTGAAGAGGAGCAAACGGTGTCGCAGAAGAGTTTAGCAAGTCACCGGGGTCTCCTGCTCCCCGTGAGAAAATGTCCGCATTAGGCAGGGGTTCCAGGCGCTCTGGTGTCTTGTCCTGCCACAGCTCACTGCCCTGTGTCACACTGTACTGTAGCCATCAGGGTTTGAGGGCCCTTGGCCGAGGAGTCACTGTATTTGTGCTAGGTCACAGATGCAAACAAGATGCCTCTGGGCACCTAGCTCATGCAGCGTGGGTCGTGGCCTGAGAGCAAGGTTTGGGTTTCTCTGCCTGCATCAGCCCGAGAGGTGCTTTGTGACCATGGCCAAGTCACTCTCCCAGTCTAGGCCTCAGTGTCCTCATGGAGAGAAACCAAGAACCTTGAATTCCATAACCCACCCAGGGCATGTTCCAACATCCACAGATAAACAAATGGCTGTCACTTTAAGTAGCTGCCTCCCCTTAGAAGGGATAAGACTGTGTAAGATTTAATGGAAGGACAGGCTCAGGACAAAGCCTCCCAAAGCAGCTCAGCTTTAGCATCCTTCAGGGCTGGGGAACACCAGCCGGTCCCCCACCCCACCGCACCCCCACACTCTCAACCACTAACTCTGCCCACTTGAACACCAAGAGATTCTGCCTCGCATGAAAGAGGATTCCAAAGTGACATTGTTACACCCAGGTGGAGCCATCTGAAACAGTGTCTGCAGGGCAGAGAAGGTTTGCAGTTTGTTGCCAAACTATCATGGTAATCATGGTTTGGGAGCAGGAAGCAGATCATCTTATCCACTTTGCATACTATTTTAACCCCTGCCCTACACACCTACTCCTGACCATAGCATTCTCTATTTTAGTCAAGTGAGAAGGACATGCTAAAACACAAGTCTAGTACCCACTCCTCTCAACTCCGCAGCTCTTGTACCTAGATGTAACACAAATCACTCAGTATGAGTTTCAAAATGGTCTTTCCTTTCTCTGTACATGAGGTGTTCATATGTATATAACAAACAGACCCATCGACAGAAATAAAAACTCTTAATGCTGCCTAGGATCTCATAGAAATGGAATTTAACAGCAATGATACTAATAGCTAATCCTTACTGAATGTTAATTATGTGGTGGGCTCTGTAATAACGCATTCTTAAATTTAACCTTCCCGGCCATTTATATAGAAATTGAGGCTCGGGGAGGATAAATCACTTGCCTAAAGGTTACACAACTAAAGTGGTGATGGAGCTGGGACCTAAATCTAGTTCTGCTGTGAAGGTACTTTACCATAAAGATGTATATTGCTTCCCTTGAACTCAGACACTAACATAGCAATTCATTAATTCCACGAACATTTATTGAATCCCTACTTTGTTCCAGGCCCTGTGCTAAGGACACAACAGTGAACATAGAGACAGATGGAACACAGTGAGGCCAGAGGGCTCAGTAGGGACCCATAAGTCATCCTAAGAGAGATGGCTCTGGGGGTTGGGGGAGGGAGAAATAGTGCAAGTCACGTGAAAAAAATCTGTGTTCTTGGGAACCATTCTAGCTGCTAAGGGATAATAATTTGGAGATGGCAAAAGTAGAATGCTGGAGACCAATTAGGAGGCCATCTGATAGTAGCAATGGAGAGGGACCGATCCTTCTCAAACTAATATACTCGAAGTTGAAATATTTACATGATTGTAAAACTTAAGAACCAGAGAGGAGTTATCTGGTCTCTGAAACTAGTGTCTGTGTGACCCAGCGAGGCTCTCAAAGTGAACTGCAAGTTTAAAACAAAGACCACTTTCTAGGAGAAAAAGACACACTTCATTTGAAGTACTGTAAATGATTTGATATTTACTATACCGAATGCCCAATTTAATAGTCTGCAAGAGTGATGAGGCCTAAGAAATAAGTAACTACTAATTTGGGGGTCGAGTGAGAATCACTAACCGGTAAATTACAAAAGTGATAAGCCTGCCATGGTAGGAGCTGGGAACACCCGTCTTTGCTTTGGCTAAGAGAGGTAGAGTAGAACAAGCAAAGACACCACACAGCCCGAGTCTGGACACAGACTTTGGACTTCAGCTTCTACCGCTGAAAAATGTGAATAATAATTTATAAAGATTAATTGAGATAACAAAGTGCCTGGCCTTTAATGGTAATTATTACTTGCCCATATTGAGTATTTAAGTATTTCTATGACAATGTGCTTAGTTTTGTTCTCCCTTCCATAGATTAATTAGAGCAAGCCATCTTTTATTGTTGTTTTCATCAACAATTACTTTATTTTATTTATTTATTTACGTTTTTTTTTTTTTTAAATGCACTGCTGTTGAAATAGGTAGTTTAAATGATTTTTGCTGTGATAGGAAAATGAATCAGGAAAGTATACTTTTATTAAGATTTGTCAGATAAATTAGATACTATTAAATATACTTCTAGATGCTTAACTCTTTTCTGGAGAAAAATATTCGTCTTAATTTTCTCTGCAGATTGGGTTATGAAGCTCTGTAACTTGAAGTTCACTGTGTCTCATTTCTTAATCAGAATCTGGGTAAGTCTTGTCTGGAAAGACCCTAAAGGGATGCTGGGAGAATAAATGATGTAATTGGGTGCAAGGCCTGAAAACAAAGGGGCCCAGTAAATATTTGCTGAATGAATCCTTATATTATTCATTATGACTGCTATAGGGAGCATACTGCACTAAGGCAAATTCTTCCTAAAATGTAATGTCTTGAATTTTGAGAGAAATGTAAAATCTCGACTTACTTTTTAAAAATAATAATTACACTCAACCATAACGCTCTAGTTTTTGCATGACGGAGACAGCGGCTGGAAATGACCAGCAGTTGGAGATCATTTTGCCGCATAACGTGGGTCTTACTCTCTTGACAGCAAACTAAATGTGCAAAGAAGGACTTCGGGCAGGGACATCGCCTCGCGCGGCTGTACTATCCCACCAAGCCAGATCCGATGGGCAGGAGTCCTGACCAGCTGCGAGACGAAAGTCCCCCGGGAGGTGCCAGGGGACCCGTCTCACCCCAAAGTGAGCCAGCGGGGCCCAGTGCCTGCCCCAGCGGCGCAGAGCTGACTCAGGGCGTGGGGAGGGAAGAAAGGCACCTTCTGCGGTGTCTACTCCGAAGCGCCCCCCACGATGTGCGTTACCGCTGTGTGCCTCCGCCTCAGGGTCACCTCCTTTTCCAACGAGAGAGCCCCAAAGCGGGCAAAGCCTCGCTCTCCTGCTCCTCTTTGCATCAACGACAACCATTCCCTAGGAGGTGCCCTGCGCTTTAGTTTCCAAAGAGCTTTGACATATGGATCCGTTGTCTCTGGAGAGACAGGCCAGCGGTTGCCCATACTTAGGGGAAACTGAGGCACGGGAGTGGGAGGCGCTTCTGGAGGCTTCGAGAGTGGAGGGTGGTGGTGCGGGGCCGGGAAGGTTCCGCAGCTCCCCCACCCCCCACTCGCGTCCCCGCGCTCCGTGGGAGCAGCTCGCAGGAGGGTGCCTTCCTGTCGCCGCTCCCGCCACCCCGGTCTCCCCTCCAGCGCGACCCCCCACCCCAGCCGCCCAGGTGCTGACCACCTGGGCAAATACCTCTAGCCATGGCCCGGGTCTGTCACCGCCTAGGATCTCCCGGGAAACGCAGCTTTCGAAAAAAGTTGCAACTGTAGCCAACTGCTCCGCTGAGCTCCGGCAGCTGCCCTGATTGGCGCCGCCACCCGCCTCTCCCTAGGCCGCCCGCCGTGATAGGCGGGCTCGGGAGAGAAAGCCCGCCCTTCTCTCCGCCTCCCCGGCGGGGGCGGGGCGAGCGGCCGCACTTTCTGCAAACGCTTTCGGGACAGGTCCCGGTGGAGGAGGTGGGAGGGGGTTTAAATTTTACCGTCTCCCTGCGCTGATTGGCTGCAGTAGAAGGACACCGGCCTTGCCATTGGGGAGCCCCAAACTCCGCCCTTTTCCGATGCTGAAGCTCCGCCTCGGGAGATTTAGTCCGGTGGCTGGAGGCTCTGGCTCTGAGCGGACCGGCTGGGACTTCCGGTTTTCTTCCAACTTGACCGGAACCCGACCTTTGACCTTCGACCTCCCCTTATGACCTAGGAAGCCTAACTCCCACCAGTTTGGCATTTCCAGCACCTTGACTCCTTCAGCAGTTTAATCCGTTCATTCATAGGTTTGAAAGATTTGAGTCTGTAATTCCAGTATTCAAAACCCTCTGGCACAGTTCCTACCAACTAACTGGGTCAGTGGGTAAACCTCCTAGAACCTCAGAGATTCTAGCCCAACGTACCCACCCATTTTACAGATGGAGAAACAGAGGACTGTAGGGAACTTATTTGCTGCCCACGGCCACCCGGCAGTTTAATTGGATGGCTTGGGTCAGTCTTCTAACTTGTTAGTGCACTAGATGATTATACCTTAACCCCAGGAAAACAACCCTTCAGCTTTCCACACCCAGGGGAGCTTCCTTCCATCTGTACGGTCCTGGAGAAGCACAGATGTCCTGGATGTTTGCTTTGAACACAAAGAAGGAGTCCAGTTACACCTCTTCCCTGGGGGTCCCTCCTGGCAATGTAGGCAGAGGTCACTCATCCATTTTTTTCTCTTTGGTCCCCAAAAAGGTTTTGGAGACCCCACCATTGGTCAAGGACCCTACCACTGAACCAGGAAAGTAGAAAAGTAAAATGAGATGATGTAATGAAGGCACTGGAAAGAGTAGTCGCTATGGCTTTGACATATCATTTCAGCTCTTTGGCCCTCAACTTTCCCAGCTGTCAGATGATTTTGGAGTTGGGCTGTGATTTCTGAGGTTCCTTTCAGCTTTTAGAGAAAGTTTTGCTTTCTCTAAAATTCATCAATTCAATGTCTGATCCTGTAAGGATAATACGGAGGCAAATAAGACATGTATCTTTCCCCATATTTTATAGGGAAGAGACCAACAAGAAACCACTTTTTAGAAGACAATATAAAATAGTGATTAATGCTGTGAGTAAAATGAAAATGGGGACTTTTACAGAGCGTGAGTAGGGAGAAGGTGGCTTCTTTATCTCTCTTTTTTTTTAAGGTGAGGCAACCCTCGGTTGACCTCACAGATTGCAAGGACCTTGTCATCTCACAATCCCTTTTTTAAAATTTTTTTTACTCCTACAGGACGTGGTCTTCCTAGGTGATCTCCCATCCAAGTACTAACCAGGCCTGACCCTGCTTAGCTTCCAAGATCAGACGGGATCGGGCTTGTTCATGAGGGCTGCTTCTTTAGATTGATGAAGTCAGAGAAATCCTCTTTGGGTGTATGGCTTTAAGTTATACCCTAAATAAGTAAGATCCATGGAAAAGGTACTTCTAGGTAGAGGGAATAGCAATTGTAAATGCCTGGAGATGCGAGCTTGCTGTGCTTGGGAAAGGAAAAAACCCAGTGTGATTGGAATTGAGTATATGATGGGAGAAATGGAGGGAATGAGGCTGGAAAGGTAGGCAGGGGTTGGATCACATAGACCCTCTGAAGGCTGTGCCGCTCTCTGCTCCAAATCCACTTTTCTCTTCCCTGCTGTGCGGGATGGGGCTGTAAACCACATTGCTTCTTTGTCAGCTACAGTCAGGTTTTCTCAATAGGAGAGAATCCAGGGAGACTGGAAGGCAGGGGGGAGGGATCGGGGACTTGCTAATGCCTGTTTGCTTGCTATTTCTATCAGGGTTGCCTAAGTAATGACATTTGCTCTGCAGGGCACTGGTTCAGTGTCCAGGTTCTTTCCACACTTCCAGAAACAGCCTTATTATGAACCCTTGGAAGTGCCAGCAGCGGCCCCTCTTCAGAGGTCTGAGCCTCAGCTTTGCAGGGCTCCTCCCCTCAGCTGTTGGAGAGCCAAGCAGCAACATGATGGGGACACTCTCTTAGAGACATAAGAACCAGCTCTACCAGGCTCCACTCCTGATTCTTCTAGTTCTGGTAACTGGACTTGCTCTCCTGGTTCCAGCAGTAGAGGCGAGAGCTGCTTCCCGTGGTTGTGATTGTTACCTCAATATTCCCTCAATATTATTACCTCAATATTCTTTTTCAAAAGAATATTTTGCTTTCTCGGTCTTCTACCGCCTGATCAATGAATTTTCTATTTTAAATTGTTTTCCCGACTGGTCCCTGACTGACACAAAGGCCATCATGAGGACCGAGACTTTTATTCCACATCTAATGGGAAGCCACTACATGGGGTTAAGCAATGGATAAACTGGGAAATCTGAAAGGTGACTGACTCATCGCAAATAGTTATGGAAATGACAATAATCTGAGACTTGGAATCTTGGAATCACATGACACGTTTCTGGAATGTCTAATGATTCCCACTTTCCTAAGATGGCCACGTCATATGGGTGGAATCACACCAGTGCTCCGCGAAAGATGACTTTCCTTACTCTCATGTTATCTCTGTGTTCATAGTTGCTGCAGGTTTTTGTTATTGTTAAATATTTCGTGTTAGCGTCAGTTCTCATAAGGTTCTACCAAATGGAACATGCGTATCCCAAAGTTCCACAGCCAGTTGCCACCTTGATCTATGAACTCCATCTCATTCTTGTGTAAATCCAATGCACATATTTTTCCTGTTATATATATGTGTGTGTGTGTGTACATATATTAGTATGTATGAATATGTATGTTTCCCCGTCTCTATATACACACATATATATTAATATGTGCAATATATATACAACAAATGTAATTACTTGGAACTCAAGCAGGTGAGAGTAAAAAATACTCTCTACCTTATAGACTTGTTATGATTAAATGAATGACTAGAAAGCATATTTGGATGTAGGAGATTGAAATGGAAGCCATTTAGTAATGAATAAAGTTAAAGATTGCATCTCAGTGAATTACTATGATTTGGAGTTACTAATCTTTCCTATTCTTTCTCTGGTGTCCTCGGAGGGAGACCAAAACTTGTCTATCAAGTAGCTTCTCAAGAGAGGTGTCTGTGGTCAGGCTCCTTGTCATTGGATGTGGAAAGAATGAACACAGAAATGGTATCTAGAGTGTAAAGTTTGGCATTGTATGCTATAGAGCCCGTGATTTTTGCTTGATGAGCCTTTTTTCTCATCTGTTGAATGGGTATATCTTTTCTCCCCACATCCTTTTTCAAAAGAATATTATCAACTACTTTTTCAATTGGCTGGGGATTCCTTAAAGTTTTAAAAATTATCATTTTATTCAAAAAGCAATTGAAGAATGTATATATTGATGAACAAGGATAGTTTTTTGGTGGTTTTCAAAGTCAGTTTAAAGATGGTTTAGCAGCAAAGCTCAAGCTATTCAACTGAAGTGTCCTAGGATAGATGATTGGATAAAGAAGCTATGGTACATATATACAATGGAATATTACTCAGCCATAAGAAGAGATGAAATACTGCCATTTGTGACATGGATGGACCTTGAGATAATCATGCTAAGCAGAGAAAAGTTGAAAACCACATGCTATCACTTACATGTGGGATATAAATCTGAAAGCAACAAACGAACAGGACAAACAGAAACTCATGGACGTGGACAATAGACTAGTGGTTACTGGAGGGAAGGGGGAGGGGGAGTTAGGTAAATAGGGTAAAAGGGGTGACATTGAAGAATTTTAAATAAATAAATAATTTTTAAAAAGATATTCAATTTGGAATATGATTTTTTTTTTCCTTGTGTGGGCTTTATTTATTTATTTTTTGGCTAGACCTTTAATTTGTGAGTTTGAAGGGACGGATGAACTTCGTTTTGTTTCTGAGAGATGTTGTCTTAGTTTGCTAGGGCAGCTGTAACAGAGTACCACAAACTGAGTAGCTTAACTGACAAAAATGTTGTAATGAGTCTAAGTCCGAATCCCAGGTATCAGCAGGGTGGTTCTGTTTGAGGGCTGTGAGGGCTATCTTCCATGCCTCTTCCCTAGCTTCCAGAGGTATGCTAATAATTTTGGTGTTCCACCTGACCTCTGCCTTCATCTTCCCGTGGCATACTCCCTGTCTGCCTGTCTCCAAATTTCCCTTTTATAAAGACACAGTCATGTAGGGTAAGGCCCACCCTAATGACCTGAATTTGAACTTAATTAGCTCCACAAAGATCCTATCTCCAGATAAGGTTACATTCTGAGGTCCTGGGGGTCAGGACTCCAACACATGAATTTATGGGGGACAAAATACACAACACACAACAACAGGTTGTTTTTTTTTTTTTAATTTATTTAGCTATCATAAATGTGTTGCTTTTAAGGGAAACGCTGCAGAAATGAATAACGGGGTGTCCATAAAAACATAAAAAGGTATTTTTTAAGTTAATACACACATAGGGTGAAAATGTCAAGCAGAAAATGTCCTCGTCCCTAACTCAGGGGCCCAGCTCAAGAACTCTTCCGTGCATATGCTGCCTAATACATGAGGAAGGTAGAGATAGGGTTATAGTCATGATCCAGAGAGATAACAACTAGGAACTCTTGCTGTGTGTGAAGACTTGTCAGAACATTCTGGAAATCCGTGTTAAGAAACAGGCAATGGTTCTCGAATACCTGACATGCTGCAAGGCAAGAAACTCAACCTTTGTTACTTGTGATGCCTCAGGGCCCGTGTCCTAAGTCTTTGCCTTTATTTTTCTTTCCATTTCCTTCTACTTTTTCTTTCTTAAAGGAAAACCCTACATGGATTTAAAATGTCCTTACTTCCTTGGGACAGTT